TATTTTATATATTTTATTTTAATTAAAGAGAAATGTAGAAATAGCAAAATGGGACCAGCATAAGGCCTGCAGTGTGTAAATGAGGTGAATTACCTCATTTTTCAGAGACTAACTGACCCTTTGCTAGGCAGCCTGTCTAGAGCAGGGTTGTGACAATCACTCTGCATTTTGAATGTTTTTTAGCAGGTGTAGTTAATTTTATGGGGTTTAAATTATTTAGGTTAGTGCATTAAATATGGAACTCCATTAAGGGCATGGAAAACTCGAATTTCTCCTGGAAATACAACTTTAAACGATCTCCCCTTTTCTATTGCTAACGTAGTTGGATGTTCAGATGATTGTGTCACCTGATGGTGAGCTGTTGTGATTTCTAAGGAACATTTATGCTCTTTTCTTTGGGTTTTTTTGTGGTTTTGGGGTTTTTTTAGCTGATAATGAAATGTAGTAAATGAGAAAGAAGAGGTGGCTAAAATATCAATGCCTTGTTTATTCACAATATAGTGAGTCTGCTGGTTGCAGACTGGGAAAAGTGGGATTTGAGGTGCATGGACATGTAATGGTGGGAGGCAGGCTGTGACACAGGGTGCTCATCTGGACTTGCAGGGTCTTTGCTGGTGTAGAAACATCACATCCTTTCTAGGCTGGTGTAGTCCTGGAGCTCTACTCATTGCAAATTTCTCCATGAACTAGAGGTGACTTCTTAAGCCTGGTGTTCTTCAGTCTCCTATTGTTCCTTCTCACCCTGAGTTTCTTCCAGGAGCCTTTACCCAAAACTTTTCAATCCTTAGCCACTGCTATTTTTAGGAATAAAATGATTTAATATTGTATGTGAATGGCCTAATAATGTCTGTATGCCTGGCTTTGTTCCCTCCCTCTTCTGTCCTGCAGGTAATTAAATGCCCTTAGTGTGGATCTTTGCTCTGCTGGCATGCTTGGATGCACAGCAGCTCTTCCCATAGCTTCTTTTCGTCTGCCCCATTGCAAGAAGATGGCAAAAGCAAACATTACCAGAGACATCATCCACAGACAGATCAAGGTATGTGTTAGCCAAGTTTTCACGTGTTGGGTGGAGAGCAGATAGAGAATCAACGTTCACACCGGATTGGGAAATACTCATGTTGTTGCCTTTACTTCTGAAAACATCTCTGCTATTTAGGTATTGATAAGCTGTATAGGAAGCTTAGGAGAACAAACACCCAAGACCTATCACAGAATCACAGAATATTGGGGATTGGAAGGGACCTCAAAAGATCATCCAGTCCAATCCCCCTGCCAGAGCAGGAACCTAAATGAGATCACACAGGAAGGCGTCCAGGCAGGTCTTGAATGTCTCCAGAGAAGGAAATGTCCTTAATGAAGAGCTGGGATGAAGTATGGCATAACAGGGATACAGTTCTTCTCCCTAGCAGGAGCACACTGTGCTAGTTTGACATCAGCAGGTCTGTTCCTTTGGAAGAGAGAAATCTGTCAACTTGTGTTTGGGCACCATCAAGGGCCCTTAGCTAGCTTCCCTCATGAGTTTTCTGTCTGCTGCTTTGTGTGTTCTCTTCGTGTGATCTTGCCATCAAAGGTATTTTCTGACTGTAGTCAAGCTAATGATCTCCGTCTCAGTCTCTTTCTGTCTCTCTCTTTAAAGAGTGGTGTGTTTGCTTCCTTTGTGTGGGGGGAAAAACTTCCACGGTGGTTGGATCAGTCATCTGATGGCTGCGTTTGTGAAATATCTCCCAACGTGAAAGGAGTAGCTGCAGCAGACACAATAGGCAATTATTACTTGGACTCAGAAGCCTTAAATCATTTGCAGCTTTGCTGGTAATCAGCATTCACAAAAGTAGTGGCTGGAATAAGGAACTAGGAGCTTGAATGCTCACTTCACTTTGCAGTTTGGTACCAAACTTTGCATGAGAAGCTTGTCATTTAATCCACGTGCAAAGATTTCTGTTGCTGCTCTAACAAGGAAAGGATGTTTCTGTGGTTACAGCGTTAGCCTGGGACTTTTTCACACTGTCTGCTCTGTTAGACTTTCATGTGTGACCTTGGGAAGGTTGCTAAGTCTGACAGTTCCTTGTAGGAAAAGCAATATCCTCCTGCACAGACCTCACAAAGCCACTGAGGTTGCAGTAGCAAGGCAATTATAACTGCAGCACCTTGCACTGGGCCTAGCAGTGTTTCGGGAATGCTAGCTGTAAAATATATCAAGGGCTTTGAAGATTTTAATGGAAGTTACTACAAAAAACCCCAAGTTTGTTTTATTTTTCCTCCGATCCCCTTATATCTGTCTCCGTCTTGTTTGCAAATAGCTTTTGTTGTGTGGAGTTTGTTACTTAACGAACATTTAATTACATGTAATGTAGCGTGCTCGTTCTTTGTGTCTGCTCTGTGGTGCTAACGTGTTCCTAGTCCCATCAGTGTCATTTTTGACATCAGTGTTCTCATCTATAAATGGAGATAACGAAGGCTTAAGCTGTCTTCTCCTGACTATAGCATGGCGTGGGGCAGGACCAAGACTGGAGCAGGTCCTAGGAAGGAATCTCCTCGGACTTTAGATGTTCCATCCAAAATATGACTTGCATTCCCTTTTCTTCAAGCCTGCCTCTGCAGTTGGCCTTCTTTCGTGGAAGCCATCTGCTAATGCATCTGTGAACCCGGTGAGATCACAGGGGAAACAACTGTCCTGCTTTTCTTCACCTTCATTTGTACTGACGCAGTTCTGTGGCAGCTGTTCTCATCCCTGTAGAACAGGCTGTGCTGTGGTGCTGCAGCTACGTGCTCCTGCTCCATTTCTGATGAAAGAAGCCATCTCTAAAGGATGCTGTCCAGTTACCTTCCCCAGTACTTTGCCCTGTGGTGGTGGTGCTTTAGGATGGATTCTGTGTGATGGCAGACTTCTCCTGAGCAGCTGTGGTCTAGCATTGCAGTGCTCAGGAGTGAGTTGCTTCCGAAATCCTTGCCAAGGGATAATGATGGGCATTCCCAAGCTCTTCACAGAATCACAGAACAGTGGGGTTTGGAAGGGACCTCAGGAGATCATCCAGTCCAACCCCCCTGCCAAAGCAGGTTCCCTACAGCAGGTTGCACAGGAAAGTGTCCAGGTGGGTTTGAACATCTCCAGAGATGGAGACTCCACACCCTCTCTGGGCAGCCTGTCCCAGGGCTCCGGCACCCTCACTGGAAAGAAATTTCTCCTTAAGTTTGTCTGGAACTTGTGATGTTCCAGTTTGTGCCCATTGCCCCTTGTCCTGTCACTGGGCACCACCGAGAAGAGCCCGGCCCCATCCATTTGGCCCCCACATTTCAGATATTCACAGACATTGATCAGATCCCCTCTCAGGCTGCTCTTCTCCAGGCTGAACAGTCCCAGCTCGCTCAGCCTCTTCTCTATCTTCTGTTTCTGGCCCAAAGTAGGCAACATACTCTGTCTTAGTGTGGGTCTCTCCAACCTTGTCTTGGCTACCTAGCTGGAGCCTGGCAATTAGATAAACATCATTTTAAACCAATTCAGGGGTAAGGATTATAAACTGCCCACCTGGAGATGATGCAAACAGTATCTCCCTACTACGGGACAGGTACCTGGTGCTATAAACACCCCAATATCTGGCAAAGTCCCTGCTTGATTTTTAAAATTCTTGAATCTTCTCTTAGAGGGAAGAAGGAATGTTTTGTTTGTTGTAGTCAGTGTGGCTCTTGTTTGCCTCGTGCAGGAGAGGGGTGTGCTGGGCTTTGAACGCCACTATCACGTCACCGACCCGTTCATTCGACGCCTGGGCCTAGAAGCAGAACTGCAGGTAAGTGAGCAGCGTTTAAAGAGCAAACTGAGCTGCTTGTTGTACAGCTTACCACAGCAAGGCCAGCGTATGGGAGTGTCTCTCTCCTGTATGGGATAGATACTGATTACTTAGTCTCCTAAACTGCATTAGAGCCAGGAATAGCTCAGTGAGATGTTGTGTGAGCTGTCTGCGTTACCTAATGCACCTACGAGCGAGCCTTTAACGGGTGCGTATCAGCTAATCCCAACAGCAGTGCTGGAAGAAGGCGATTGCCAGTGGTTCAAGATGCTCAGCTCTAATGCTGAAGAAGAGGTTGTTATATTGCAGTCTGACACAGCTTAAAAAAATCTTAAGAGTATCTTGGTTTCAGGCAGGAAAGGATTCTTTTGTCCCTCTTTTCAATTACATCTCCCATACCAAATGCTCCTCAATGCTCCCCTAGTCTTTGCTGGTACAGTTGTTGGTTAATTTGGATGAAGATGGATGATACAGTCACCCAGCAGCAAGGTGCTTCTAAAAGAGTTATCAAAAGTGCATTTTCCCTGCATTCCCAGAGAACCTGTACATGTAATTTGTCAGCCTAGCCAAGGGCTTTTGAAGCAAAGTCACCTTTCCGTGTGTACAGCAGGATTTCATCTGTAGCCTCTGAGACTAAACTGCCATTTTATCCACCACTACAGGGTTGTTTTTTTTGTTTGTTTCATTTTGCCTTTTCTACCCCAACTGCTATAGCATGTCGGTCTTTTCTGGAGGTACTTTATCTGCCATGTGAGTGGATTTTTTTGCAGGGTTGGAATAAAAAAATCTGCTTGTATTGGAACAAGTTGTTATATGTGGGGAGCTTGCTGTGTCCTTGTCTTAGAACAACTCTGATAAGTCTGAAGTTTGTGTAATACCATCTTCCCTTTTTTTTTTTCTCCTCAGGGTCACTCTGGGTGTGTCAACTGTCTAGAGTGGAATGAAAAAGGAGAGTAAGTATGTGGCTTGATTCTGGGGATCAACAAACTGATAACCCCAGGTTCTCCCAAGAGTAGGATGTAGGTCATCTTATCCTAAGCAGCTGCTTTCCATTCCTAGTAAAGTGGAGCTCAAGCTCAAAGTTTTGAACTGTAGTAGAGATCACACTTCCAAAGAAGCTTTGTTTTGTTTTTTTTTTTTTAATATAGCTGGATATTATTAGAAATGCCCCTTTAGTGAGTTCAGAAGGGAAGTGGTCAGACTAAGAAGTGGAGATTGAAGGCTGCTTCTCTTCTCTTAAGTGGTATTATGGATTATACTGGATCTTTAGGATTTACCCAGCTGGTAGTGACACTTCCCCACCCCCTTCACCCTGCGTTAAAAGCTTCTGCTGGGGGACAAATATATAAGAGAGGGAGGGAGAACATTTAACCCTCTGCAGCTTTAGAGAGAAACTAAATGTAAAGAGCATTTCTGTTAACCAAGTGGAATAAAGAGTATCTGCATGAGAAATAACTGTATGGAAGGAAGAACGTATATTTCTTGATGTGCTTCTTAGAACATCCACAGTCTGCTGTCTGATACTCTTCAGAATTATTTACCAGTGGAAAATTGCATGTGCTTGGAAGAGATCTGGCTACAAGGAAATAAGTTTTAAGAGCTGATAGCTGCAAATGTCAAATTCTTTTGCTTCACCTGAAGATAGATGTAGAAGGCAAACAGCACCTTGCAGTATCGCTGCCACACCCTATACTTAAAAAGCAGTCTGTGAATCACTAAATGAGCCCATCAAAACACACAGATGTGCCCAGCTGCCTTTTTACAACTTCTAGGTATCAATTCTGCAAGGCAGAATTCTTGGGACTGCTTGAGCACATCCAAAATCCAGGAATGAATGCCTTGGCTTGGGTTTAGGGATGATGTGGAGCAGTTAACACAGCCAGGCTCATAAGGAAAATGGAGATCCTGCATTTTGTTGTTGACCAAATGCTCCTATTGTTTTCCCCTGTGCCATCTGAATCTGTGGTGAGCTGGTTCAATGAGCTAAACCAAAGCAAAACAGTCGCTTTATTTTCTGGGGAGTTGATATTTGGCTGGTTTAGCTCCCTGAACTGGCTGAATGGATTGGTGTATGGGGAGCAACAAGAGCACGTAGCTGAGAAAAGAGAGAGGAAGTGGGCTTCTTAGAGCTGAATTAACTTAATGGCTGTCTGTGGTCAAACCACTCTAAGAAATGGGTCACAGCTTAGAATAGAAAAATACATGATGCATACTGCTCTTCTGTTTCTTTTAGCTTGTTGGCCTCTGGCTCTGATGACCAGCATACCATTGTCTGGGATCCTCTACACCACAAGAAACTTCTTTCTATGCACACAGGACATACTGCAAACATCTTTTCTGTCAAGGTATGTGGTTAGAAGGAATGAACAGCTAACAAAATCAGCAACCTGGGCAGCAAGAGAATAGATCCTTGTTGGGAAAGATTTTCCTGAAAGCAGTTTCCCTCCCCAAATAATTGAATATTTCTAATATTGAGAAAAAATTGTGTTAAATGTAATACCTGCTCCCAGGCTTATCTCATTCTCTCTTTGAAGTCAAAGGAGATGGTTGTAGCACATTGGGATGTGTGATGAAGAGATCATTGTGTGTGCTGGGGTAGCTGGTGACTCTTGAGTTGCTCACTGGCATATGTGTGATGTAGGTAATAATGTGGGTCATCCTATGTTCCTAAAGTAAGCTGCTCTGTGACCTGCCAGGACAGCTCAGTGATGTCTGTGTGAGCAGCCTCAGCGCTTCTCAGCTTTGAATATCAAATCTCTCTCCCACAGTTCTTACCGCATTCAGGGGATCGGATCCTCATCACGGGAGCTGCAGATTCCAAGGTGCATGTCCATGACTTGACTGTCAAGGAGACCATCCACATGTTTGGAGATCACACCAACAGAGTTAAGCGGATTGCCACGGCTCCCATGTGGCCTAACACCTTCTGGAGTGCGGCAGAAGACGGGCTAATCAGGTACAGAACTCTCATTGTTCTGCCCCAAAATTAATTGGATTAGGATCCATTGCTGTATGTACTACGTGCAGATCTGAAGAGAGACTGTCTCTATACTAAAGAGCTTAAGCTAATCTCTCCCTTTCCTGAAACTGAAAGGATTCATCTTGAAATGTAGACTCCTCTGATAAATACTGTCCTCAGCTCCTCTGTTTTCTCCCACTGAAAAGGGAGGTCAAGAAAGGAACAGCCATGTCAAATGGAAGGGAGATACAACACTGAGTGATGTTTCCCTCCAGAATCATCAAGACTCTTAAACGAGTAATGTTATTGTGAGAGTCTGTTCCACTTTTCATATGAGCTACTGTGAGGTCATGACTTAGAGTTTAATTTGGAACTTGAATAATTCTGTGCACGTTACAGAGCTGGTTTTAGTGGTTATCCTGATATTGAGGCCTAGTGTTTATTGAACTGAGGTGCTTCCAGTAACCACCTGTGGCACAAATAACTGTTGCTCTAATTTCTTCACGCACAAGCCAGGTAATTAAACATAGGTCAGTATAAATGTGCTGCTTTGAGTGGTCTTCAGTTGGTCACCATGGAAAACTAACCTCTCTCTTATCACTGCCTCTGTTATCTAGTGACAGGGATTGCCTGACTCTCTCTTCCCTTTGCAGACAGTACGATCTGCGAGAGAACAGCAAACGGTCAGAGGTCCTGATAGACCTGACAGAGTACTGCGGGCAGCTGGTGGAGGCCAAATGCCTGACCGTCAACCCCCAAGATAACAACTACTTAGCAGTAGGGGCAAGTGGCCCCTTCGTGCGGCTCTACGACATACGCATGATCCACAACCACAGGTAATGGCACCTGGCTTCTCTGGGCAGATGTGAGCTGTACAGAAATCTGTTCAAGGCTCTGGTGGGAAGGGGGAGTTGCAATGAGCTGGCACTCGCCTGTCTCACTGTGCAGTTTTACCCAGACTTTTCTATCACCACAGTCTTTTTGAGCTGTGTGAGGACACTGGGGTGGTGTGAGGCAGGCTTGTGACTGCCCCGCTGTATGGGCATGAGGCCTTGCCCTTGTGTGTGAACAAGAAGTGTCAGCGTAGATCAGACTTCCAGTAGTTGAATGCTGTGATTGTAAAGTTATTCTTCTTTCTGCCTAGAAAAAGCATGAAGCAGAGTCCTTCAGCTGGAGTACACACGTTCTGCGACCGACAGAAACCCCTCCCGGACGGTGCGGCACAGTACTACGTGGCAGGTACTGGGACCTCTGCTGGGGGTGACTTTTAAGTGATAGGACTTCTCAGCTAATGCCTGAAGAAGCGGAGTTCTACCCATCACATAAGAAACCAGAAGAGTTCTTCTCTGATAGAGAAATGTTCCATGGAATTTCAGTTTATTTCACTTCTATGCTGTGAATTGTTGCTTATGTTACCTGCCCACTTTCCCTGATTTGGCAGTGGCTCGTGTTGCTGAGCTGCCCTTCTTCTTGTCTAGTGTAATTGTCTTTTTGCCACTTCTATTGGAGAGTCAAGGATTGGATAACCTGGGCACTATAGGTTTTCTCCTGGAACTGATCCCAGCAAGGCTGCTGTTCAAAATCTTTTTGGCACAGAAGAGAAGTGGCTTGTCTTCATCCTGAAGATGAAGAATCAGCAATGCAGTATCTGGGAAATCTAGATAACATTCTTCTCTAATGCTCATTGTTTACTATCTTTTCCCCCCCCAAATGTTTGGGCTTGTTTGAAAGTATCTTAGACCAGCAGGTGCAGCAGACCAGTTTTGACAGTCTTGCTTCTGATGAGTCCCACTAGAGGATTTCTTAGGTCCCTTGAATTGGTCATGCAACACATCTGCTGTCTGAAGCAAAAGAACCTGTGTGTGAGCTGAATATTTAGGAGTCTTGGTTTGATTGTGCTAAGGGCTTTAATAAGGAAACCTGATTAGAGGGTTGAAGATGGAGGTATTTGTGTGCAGATGGTCGCAAATCACAGAAGCCAAATCCGTAGTGAATCCCTAAAACTTGAGATTCGCTGGGTTCTGCAGAGTTCATTGTTAGCAAGCTCTTTATAATCCAGTCTTCTCTTCCTATGGAGAAGAAAGAATTCCTTAGATTCAGATGGCACAGGGGAAAACAATAGGAGCATTTGGTCAACAACAAAATGCAGGATCTCCATTTTCCTTATGAGCCTGGCTGTGTTAACTGCTCCACATCATCCCTAAACCCAAGCCAAGGCATTCATTCCTGGATTTTGGATGTGCTCAAGCAGTCCCAAGAATTCTGCCTTGCAGAATTGATACCTAGAAGTTGTGAAAAGGCAGCTTTGCACATCTGTGTGTCTTGGTGGCTGGTGGAAGGATTTGATAAACAGCAGTTGGAAATGGAAGATCACTTAGGTGCCTTGTGCTTCCTGACATTGCTCTCCTAACAACCCCTTGTAAAAGGGAACAGCTAGAGTAGGACAAAGACAGCAGTTACTAGTTGTACTGATATGTACGAACCTCTTCTCTCCACAGGGCACCTTCCAGTGAAGCTTCCAGACTACAACAACCGGCTGAGAGTTCTGGTGGCCACATATGTCACCTTCAGTCCCGATGGCACTGAGCTCTTAGTCAACATGGGAGGGGAGCAGGTAAGAAGACAGCTCAAGTTTGCTGGAATGCTTCATAACATGCCATTGTGTTTGGTCACCATATGCTGTTGTGCATTCTTGAAAACAAGTATAGAACTTCTCTGTGGCTAGTAGGATTGATTTTAAACTGTTTTCTGATTCATTCAAACTAAATGCTTGGTATTAGGGATTTATTTGTTATGCTACCACTGATCAAACTTGAACTACATTGAGGAGGGGGGAAAAAAAACAAGTCTTAGAATTGACCTTTGCTGACCTAGAAAAGAATTCATAACTCATTCTGGAAACATCAAACTGCTTCTGTAATAGAATCTAATGAATAAGGAATTTAGAGAAGCAAAGGCCTTCACCTGGAATATTGATTGCTTTAATTTCAAGCGCTGGGTGATATTCATGGATCTTTTGTAATGCCTATCAGTGAAATGAGAAAATCCTCCTGACAGGATTAATCAGCATGGATTAAGCAGGGACTTCACTTGTGGGCAGGTTACTCTGTGGTTGTCCTCTACAGATCTCTTTCTCACACATACACTCATTCCCTTTAAAAAAAGGTGCTGACTTAGATGACTTGTAGGTCTGATCTGGGCTGTCAGTTCCTATACCAGTGCAGTTTTAAATTGGGGCTTCACAGAGCTGCTTGCAAAATTTCTCAGGAAATCCTGGGTTCATCTCAGAAAGGCTTTTGCCTTGGTTTAGTGTACTGCTTCTATTCTGTCAGTAAATGTTTGATTTCTTCATGATTGCTGTGTTAATAGTTAAAATATCTTATTGGAATTGAAGGTATTTGAGCAGTAGGTGTGGAGAGGACTTGCTCTTCTCTTGAGTAAGATGAGGCTCCTATTTCTCAGCATTATTCTTTCTGAACCCAGTGCTGGAATGGACCATGCTGCTGGTACTGCTGTCATCCTGTGGGTACCTGTCTATAAAGAAGATTCCCAGTTAGGAAGTTGGAAAGAGCAAAATTCAAAGGAGGAACCATATACCCATCTAGCCCTGTTTTATTTCTGTGACTTGAGCATCTATGTTTCACTGAGTGTTTTTGTTTAATTCTCTTTCTTCATTCCTTAGGTCTATTTGTTTGATCTAACATACAAACAGCGACCGTACACTTTTCTCCTCCCCAAGAAGTGCCATACTTCAGGGGGTAAGTATGATGCTGTCATCAAAGAGAGTGGAAGGCAGAGTGAAATCACATACTACACAAATCTCTTTTCAGGGTTGCAGCCCAATCTGGGCAGGAAGTAGGAAGATGAAGTAGGGCACAGCTGTTGCTAGGCTGTTTCTGCAGTGCAGCTCGTACCTTGAGTTCTAAAACCCTTCTACAGAGTGACAAAACATGTGTCTTGAGGGGAAAAGTGAGCTGGTGAGAGGTGTGTGTCTGTGCGAGCGAAGGAGAATGCTTAAAGCTGTGCAGAAAGGATGAAGTAGACTTCATAAAGTGATTAAGGTCTTGGTATTGTGTCTTCAACTAAGGGGGAAAACTTTGTGAACAGGCTTGGAAAGGGTATATTGGTTTTATTGTTTTAAAACTTATTAGTAAAATGTAGACTACATCTGTTATCCCCTTATACACCCATTAGGAAGGAGACAGAACAATCTCTTCCCTAGTCTAAGAATCTGGCCTGGCATTAATATCCCTGCTGGTGGTGAGATAGTTGAATCAAAAAGTCATTTATTTGATGAGTAAGTATATCCAAAAGCCTCTTTATTCCTGGCCTGTTTTCTTACATGGCCTGTTTATACACAGACATTGCAGGGAAGTACACAGTGAGTGGTTACAGCGTTATTCCTCGGGCAGAGGCTGACTCTTATCAGGGAGTGTTCCCTGCTCAGCCCCTTCGCTGTTCTCAGAGCACTCTGGCAGAGTTTGATCTATGTGTGCCTTAGGCCTTAATCTAACACTCACATCCTGGTAGCAAATATATGCCCTGCCTGCCTTTTTCTTCTTTCTTGAATGCATGTGGGTGATCTGTACTGTGGTATCTGGTGAGGTCACGCTTTAAATGGCAGGACAGCGTTTGAACAGGCTCACAGTGGTGAGGTTGCAGCAAACACTCCACCCTGTTAGGCACAGAAAGTTCAGGCAAAGGCTCTGAAAAGGTGATATCAGTACAAAGGCTGAACTTCATGTGCACGCACATCTCTGCACCCTGAAATCTCTGAGCAGTTCAGTAGACAGGTTGGACAGTGTCCTTGGTTTCCCATCCTGTGAAATGGCCGCAGGAGCACTCCCAGCTGCAACATAAATGCAGTTTGTAAAGATTTTAGCTGAATGTTTTCTACAGAAATGGCAGATGATGTGACTGCATGATCTTCAGAGGCTTACTTCAGCTTTTAATGGCTCCTTGAGCAGTAGGGTGAGAGAAGAATGAAAGGAAGAAAGCATCTGAAATTCCTTTACTGAATTCCTCCAGTGGTTCTACTCATCCTCCTTGTTCTATTAAATGTTCAACAGCTTATCTCTATCATTCTTTATCTGAGTGAATATAAAATACAAAGTTACTGATGTTACTAAATACTTCTGCAGTTTAAATGTCAGGCTTCTGGTGATGAGTGAGGTACTCCGATTATGGCCTAGACTCAGTCTGAAGGCAGTTAAGTTCAAGCTACCCTCTCCTTTGTGTTTGTGTGTGTGTGTGTGTACTTAGTTCTATGTGTATCTGGTTTTCTGTTCTGGAGTTGTATTGTCAAGGATACTGCAGAGATTTTGTAGTAAATGTAAGAAGTTAAATCAAATCCAGGTGGCTGGAGGAGATGGGGCTTGTGAATTCTCCTCTGAGTGGGGCTGTAGCATTGGCTTGGCTCTGCTATAAAATAAAACCCTGAGGCTTCAGATACTAGTTTCTATAATCTGTATTGATACTGAGCATGGATGTATTTTTTTGTTTGTTTGTTTTTTACTAACTTTCAGAAGTGCAGAATGGAAAAACCTCTACCAATGGAGTGTCAAATGGCATCCACCTCCACAGCAATGGCTTCCGCTTGTCTGAAGGAAGAGCACATGTGAGGTAAGGGGACAGCTGTACCTACATGAAAGCCCTACAGCTTTGTTCTTGTACTCTTCCTCTTGCCAGAGTTAGGTGCTGCTAAACAAGGTGAGAAGTGCAAATGCAGTTGGTGTGTTGATTTGATTGTCAAGTGGCCTCTCTCCGAGGAGGTCTTTGTTTCTGGTGCGTGGGCTATGAACAAGAGTCAGATCAGGCAAGAGCATCATGTTGTCCATGAGGATTTTTCCCCTATTATGATGAATGACTGCAGACAAAACTAAGAAATTACTTTTCAGGCCTGGAAGCAAGGTGTTCTTAGTTGTTCTGGGTGGTTGTTATGTCCTGACCTGCAGGAACTGTGTCTTGGTAAATGGGAGAGGCTGTCAGGTCAAAGGAGCCTTGCTTCCCTTTGCCATGTTTTTATAGAATCATATCATAGAATCATATCATAGCATGGTTAGGATTGGAAGGGACCTTAAAGATCATCTAGTTCCAACCCCCCTGCCATCAGCAGGGACACCTTCCACTAGACCAGGTTGCTCAAAGCCTCATCCAGCCTGGCCTTGAACACTTCCAGGGAGGGGGCATCTACAACTTCGTTGGGCAACCTACAACTTCCTTTGGGCACCTGCCTGCTGCAGACTGAACTGAAGTGACCAAAATTGCTTTATGACAACGACACTGGAGTCATTACTCTGCAGTCCACATGTGAGCTAGGAACAGATGGAGAGCCCTCTTCCATTGTTCCTGCTGCTTTCTTTCTTTAAGAGCAAAATGCAGTTGTGGCGAAGCAGAAGCAGACTTGAAACACATCTTGCTGACTGTTTTTCCTCCAGCTGATGAGACGTGGTTAAAAGTCAAGACACAGTTGCTTAATACCATATATGGGTAGTCTAGGTTCTACCAAAGTCACTTTGTTGAATGTTTTCAGTTTGTTTCCTCTAGATGGCCCCTCCACCACGGCAGCAGAGATGTGGCTGGAATTTTGGGTCGCTGAGCACGGGCCTTGTGCAGCCCTGTGAACCCAGATGCTTGATTTCCTTCTGAAATTGCATTCTGTTATACATTGCTGAAAGAGGATTGGAAATGTTGTTTATGGAGTCAAAGCAAGGGTGTATTGGTGAAGTCTGAGGGATTCAATGCTTAAAATACCCATTATTCAATTTTGAGTGTATGTCTGTATATAAAGAAAAAATGAAAATAGTCAAACGATGGTCAAAAAGAAACTTTCCTCTTAAATTCAGGTTATTCAGGTTCAGGGTCTCTTCTGCCTTTTTTAAAAACTTGTGGTATTAGCTAATGCTTGCTGGGACTTGCTAAGCTAGAACAAAACCCTGCAGACATTTAACTGGAGTTAGCAGAGCATTAGCATATGAGACTTACCTGTGCTCCTTTCTTCTTTCCCTTCAGTCCCCAGGTGGAGTTACCTCCATATCTGGAGAGAATCAAGCAGCAAGCCAACGAGGCCTTTGCTTGCCAGCTGTGGACTCAAGCCATCCAGCTATACAGCAAAGCAGTCCAGAAAGCCCCCAACAACGCCATGCTGTATGGAAACAGAGCTGCTGCCTACATGAAGCGCAAGTGGTAAGGAAGCAGAGAATATCAGAGAGTTGAGTGTCACAGGCACTGCTGGTGCCTGACTTCAGAGTACCGTGGCTGCCTTGTCCACTGTCCACCTGGCTTCCCTGTGTGCAGAGCAGGGTTGGGGTCAGTGGATCAAGCCGTAGGTGGGTCACCTCTGGCACAGAACAAGGGGATTGCACAGCAGTATGTGTTGGAGAAATTACAGTCACAGATACCACACAGGCAAACACAGCTGGTAGTAGCTCATCTTTTTGCCTACTGGCATGCTGAGTAATGTTCTGTTCCTTTCCTGTTTAAAAAGAAACCAAAAATCCACTTCTGAGTAACAGCATTATGAGTATCTCCAAGGGTGTTTGCTTTTCTTTGGATAGTTCTGATCTGCATTACAGTATGGCTCTAAATCTGCTGTCAACAGATGAGGTAATGGTTACTGTGCTTTATAACTTCATATCTCATTATATGAGATTGTTGTAGGCCTGCCTGGAGTTGCTTTGGTTGCTGTTTTATCCAAGAAATTACTACTGCAGATAGATGTGACCTGGTGGTTCCTGTGTTACTCCAGTTAACCCACATTCCCCGTGACTGGAAACAAACCTCTTTGAGGATTCTGGGGAGGTGGCAACTGGTGCCTCAGAGTCTGAAGGAGGTTCTGTCTCAATTGTTGCAAAATATGCTGTTAGCCTCTGTAGTAGGTAATATCTTCTGACCAACAACCAGAGCTGCATCGGCAAGATACAGCAGAGTTATTTTAGTATCTGTCCCCTTGAGCAGAGCAGGACTGAGTAGCATGAGTTGCCATTAACATATTTAAAATAGCTGTGGTCCTTCATCTCCATTTGCTTTGTGAGGATATCCTTCTCTTCTCCCTGTTGAAATCCCCAGTATGAATTCTCCCATCTTCTTGCCAAGATAAAGAGCAGCCAGCAGTTGTTGTGACTGTTGGTAACTGGCCTACTGGCTGTTTTGCAATAGCAGAGATTTGGGAGCTGCCTCAAAAAGACCTCAGTGTTCAGAGGGAGAAGAACAATAGGTTTGGATTAAGGAATGGAAGACAGAAGCTGAGTGCTGATCTCATGAATGACATTTTTCTTATAGGAATCGTTTTTCCCGAAGGATGTTGGCAGATCTGAACCTTTCTGTGTGTCAGCTAGTGCTTTGCTACAGTTTTTGGTAGCAGGAAGATGTGAAAATATATGCACAATGGGTTTCTGTGGCACGCAATGATTAGAATTTAAATAGTACTGAGCTGCTATCTTCTCAGGTGCAGAAAAGATGGAGCACTTTCCTGCTAGGAACAGCTAGTGTATGGCAGAAGGTGGCTGGGGTGTCTCTGAGAAGGAGGGTGAAGCAGTTGGATGGTGACCCACGCTGAACCACTCTGTATCTCTCAGGTGTCCTTCATGTTTGGAGCAGGAACAGCTCTAGGCCACCCTGCAGAACACTGTGGGTCTTGCTTTGGCCTCATTCTCTGACTAACAGAGAGATTGAGAAAAAAGGAAGGTCTGGAATTTCCTAACCTCCCCTTGCTCATCTCCCTTAAGATGCTACTCGTACTCTGCAGGCTTCTCAGGCTGTCCTTTCCAAATTTGCTCACAAGAGCCAACTGCATCACTCTCCAGATTGCTGTTAGCAGTCTGTGTTGACAGTACTTAGCTGATTTCTAGTTAGGGCATTTTTGCACAAGCTGAGTCAAACCTGTAACAATGGGAGATGTCAGTGCCTGCTTTCCATCTCAAGGGGTACGTTCTCACACCAGTCTGTTGGGCTGTCTGACACTGGGTAGTTGAGGCTGAAGGATTTTGGAGGGTGGCAAAGCAGCTAATAGCCCAATCAGCTCTGAAAATGTGAGACACCCATCTGTCATCATATCAGGTAACTTGCATTGTCTCTTTCTCTGAATAAACTTGATTAACACAGACACAGTGCTGCAAAGACAGCCCTCAAGAGCCATGTTCCTTCTGCTCTGCTGCAGATCTCATGGACAAGACATTCCACCTTCTGTGCTACCAAGCTGTAATAAGTGGCCAATATCCACCTAGACTGGAGGGAGCAGTAGGATGAACGGTTTGCAGAATGAGTTTGTGGCACTGAATAAGTGCTGCTTAGCATGTAACCCAAAGATTTGGAGCTCCCTTTGATGGGCAGAGACACAGGAGCAGCTCTTCCCTGACAAAGACTCCATGTCATCTAAAATTGTCACCCTGTGGAAGGTACAGGGCAATTCACCTCCGTCCCCTTGGGACTGTTTCAGACTTTGGTAGGTGCAGTGCTCATAGGTTCCAGGTATTCTACTATTATTATTATTATTATTATTATTATTATTAGCCATCACATGGAGACTTGGCACTCTCTTAAGACAGATTGTGGTGCCTCTGAAGAGTTTAGGCTTGATGCTGGTACACCAGGCATGTCAGCCCTGGCTGACTTCTCAGCCTCTGTTAGTCTGAATAGCAGCATGCAGAGGTTCTTATTCCCACAGCCATGGAGCTTAGGGAAATCAAGTGTAGTCTCCAGTAACTGTAAACAGGATATAAATACTTGTTATATTAGCCATTATTTGCTGCACCTCGAGTGCTGGGTTCAGTGTTGGGCCCCTCACTCCAAGAAGGACATGGAAGTGCTGGAGCGTGTCCAGAGAAGGGAACGGAGCTGGGGAAGGGTCTGGAGCACAAGTGTGCTGAGTTCATGGCTGAGGGAACTGGGGTTGTTGAGCCTGGAGAAAAGGAGGCTGAGGGGAGACCTTCTGGCTCTGTCCAAGTCCCTTGGAGGAGGGTGGAGAGAGGTGGGGGTGGGTCTGTTCAACCAAGGACCAAGGGACAGGACAAGAGGAAATGGGCTCCAGTTGCGCCCAGGGCAGTTGAGATGGGATGTGAGGAAGAATTTCTTTGCTGAAAGGGTTCTGAGGCATTGGAAGGGGTTGCCCAGGGCAGTGGTGGAGTCCCCATCCCTGGAGGGATTGAAGAGTCATGTAGACATAGTGCTGAGGGACATGGGTTAGTCATAGGGGACTGGTCAGTGTTGGGTTTATGGTTGGACTGGATGAGCTTAAAGATCTTTTCCAAACCAGGCAATTCTGGGGTTCTGTGATTGTGATAGCAGTCTGCTATAAAGCTTTATTTCTAAAACTTGAAGATTTTTCCTATAAAGGTGAGAAAAGACTGCTGCTTTAGATATTTGTCTATCAGGGCTATGAAGCGTGGTGGTTCTGTAGCTCCTTCTTGAGGGCTACAAGTGGCTGTGGGCAGGGAAACATGCTGCCACGTCGTGTGTCCACCAAGGGGCACGCGTGAGCTGCCGTGCTCTGAGGAGGCCCCACTCGCCTTGCAGGAGAGGCCTTGTGTCTGCTTGGCCAGAGGGCTTGTGCATCCTCCATCTTCAAAGGACTTCCCTAAATGTGTTCTATCAGCCAGCTCTGCTCTGTCGGATTTAAAATGGCAGGTCAAGACTTGCTGGGCTTCTCTGTGTGGTCACGTTACGGGGCTGCCTGTTGTACGTGGGGAGGTGCAATCAAGAAGCTGGGCTTAGTCAGATGGTGCCCCTGGGAAACAGCAAATGCTATTAGTACGTGAGCTTGTGGGGTGTCTGCTTGCACAGAGAGAGCTGGAAACAAGCAGCTTTGGAGTGAAAGGAGGGCTAGGAAACAGCAGTGGAAAATGTATGCTGTTTGTGCTTGGGCTGTGTAATCCACCCCTGCCTTTTCTTCAGGGATGGGGACCATTATGATGCTTTAAGAGACTGCTTGAAGGCCATATCCTTGAACCCGTGCCACCTGAAGGCCCATTTCCGTCTTGCCCGTTGTCTCTTTGAACTCAAGTATGTGGCAGAAGCACTGGAATGTCTGGATGACTTTAAAGGGAAGTTCCCAGAACAAGCACATAGCAGTGCCTGCGATGCACTAGACAGAGACATCAATGCTGCCCTCTTCTCCAAGAGCGATAACGGTGAGTGCCAGTGTGCAGTGATGTTCTTCAAGGTTATACTAAAATCTAATAATCAGACAAGGAATTTTCTCCTTAAACTGCCCCTCTGAAGTAAAGCTCCAACTTCTGAGAGAGATTGATTGTTACTGCGCACAAAAACTGGCCTGAGCCTGTTCTTTCCTTGCGCCTGGGTCCCGGTTTTCTCTTGAGCAAGAGTATGATAAAAGGAGTCTGATGTACCCAGGAGATAATCTGGAAGGAAGCTGGTGCTTCTAAGCCCTGCTCCCTGCTGGCATTGTCTTTAACTCTTCTCTAACACCGTTGGGGTCTCCTACAGTGCTTTGTTTGCTGGGAACATGTTCCTCTCTAAATTGTGATGAGGGAAATCTGTTGTCTTTCCAGCTGAAGACAAGAAAGCGGGTGGCCCCATCCGGCTGCGAGCCACAGGCCGCAAGGATTCCATCTCGGAGGATGAGATGGTGCTGAGGGAACGCAGCTACGACTACAAATTCCGATATTGTGGCCACTGTAACACTACTACAGACATCAAAGAGGCCAATTTCTTTGGCAGGTACGTTGGCAGAGCATAATAGGGATGCAGGACAGGAGTGTGAGCAGCAGCAGAATGCTCTCTTCCGTCGGATAAAGCCTCGTGCGTAGCCCCGTGTGACTGTTCATAAAATGACGCTGACACTGGTTTGCAGGGTTGAAAAAGCTGACAGAAACCCTCCTCCTTGTGTGGCTGCATGAATCGCTGGTTCAGTAGCAGATGCACAGAGGACCCAGTTGGGCTAGCGTTTCAGAAAAGCCATTTGGGATTGAAAACATGAATCCTGGGGATGGAGGGAAGCAACACAGAAAGCTTTATCTGGATCCATAAGCATGAGGGTGGCAGCCTGCTGATTATAGAAGCCAACTGAGGTTCTCGTGTCTGCTAGAGACTAGCTTTGGCTCTGAGCTGTGATCTCCAGTCTCTGCTCCTCTCACCCTAGCAATGCACAGTACATAGTCAGTGGGTCAGATGACGGCTCCTTCTTCATCTGGGAGAAAGAAACCACCAACCTTGTTAGAGTGCTGCAGGGAGACGAGTCGATTGTGAATTGTCTCCAGCCTCATCCCAGTTACTGCTTCTTGGCCACCAGCGGCATTGACCCCGTTGTACGACTGTGGAACCCTAGGCCAGAGGTAAGAGCCATGGTAAAAGAGCATCTTGTTGTCATGAGATGTAACACACACACTGGTCTTTCCTACTGGGATCTCTTGTGAGTCGCAGCAGCAGTAACAGCCCCTCTTTGGTCCTAGAGCTGCCTTGCTGAGTTTCTCTCCCTTCTTGTCTTGCAGAGTGAAACCCTTAATGGCCGTGTGGTAGTAGACATGGAAGGTGCTTCCCAAGCTAACCAGAGACGAATGAACGCAGACCCGCTGGAGGTGATGTTGCTGAACATGGGGTACCGGATTACAGGACTGACCAGTGGTGGGGCTGGAGGTTCAGATGATGAAGACAGCTCAGAGGGGCAAGTCCAGTGCCGGCCCAGCTAAAACAGAACTGCCTCTCCTTCCTCTAATTATTTGGCTGAAAGGGAACCTAGTTTCCTTGGTCCTGAACTTTCTCTGATGAATGACTGCACTGTTTCGCACTATGCACAGAGTAGGACAAGCTGTCAGGGGCAGGAGCGGCCGTCTCTTTAAACCATCACCACCACTTCCTCCTTCTCCCGTCAGGCTCCTGAGCAGCGTGGCAGTGCAGTCTGGGGTTTGCCTTTAGTGGAATTTAGTCCCAGCAGGGGTCTTTGAGTTGTCTGTAAGCAGTGTAAACTGGTGATTTTTTTTTCCAGAGCTGCTGTATGATCTGGTACAGGGGGATGTTGCCTGCATTCGTGCATTTGCAGAGAGGATGTTAAAATTCCTGAATAAAATACAAACCTAGGGCAGGGGTTATGGAGTGAATTTACTGCAGTGATCTTGGTCTTGAAAGCTTGACTCTGCTTTTGTGCTACCAGCCTGTCTAGAGGCCCCTGGTTTAGGGTTGTTGGCCATGAAACACCTGTTTTGTCCTGTTAACATCTTTCTTCTGGCTTCCATCTCCAACATGTTGTCACCAGATGTAGCTGTGTTGTATTAAGGACTGGATATTGCTCGTCTTGTCCCTGGGCATCTGTCTTAGTTGATGAATCAGTGAAGACACTGAGTATGTGCAGCTCAACAGGGCAGGATGTGCTTGCCCATCTCTGATCTTTCTTTCTGTGGTTTATGAACCCATGGAGAAAGGTGACAGCAATGGGAGCAGGACTGATCAGAGGCGTAGGACTCACGTAGCTACAGCTACTGAGGAAAGGGGCTGGTAACTGCACTCTTCCCAGAGTTTCTCCCTCTGTCGCTCAAAATGCGTGTAGCTGTATTCACCTTCTCCTCTCCGTGCCACCCATGCTGGAGCTGAGAACGTTGCCACCATGTAGATGTTGTAACTAAGGTTTCGAGCTTTTAGACAGCAGCGTTTTTGTGCAGTCAGCTGCTCTGTCTTGGCCAAGGTGGGCCTGCTCTGCCTCATTGTTGGTGTAATATCTGGTGGATCAGTGGTCCTCTCAGGAACCCTCCTTCCTCTTCCCGCTCTCCACACACCGACTCCGGCTGCACAGCCCAGAGTACACCTAGAAATGCAGCACTGTACTTCCATTCCTCCTCCTCTCATGTATCATGCAGCCCTGTTTTTTTTCCCCTCTTGCAGTTGCCAAACACTAAATATCAAATAGATCTTACACAGCTGTGGTACAACCGAATCCGAAGAGGTTGTTTTTTTTCTAGGACTATCAACTAAGACCAAAGAGCCCCTGGAGATCTTAACTGCTCTGCGCTGTCTCGTATCTCTTACTGCTGAAGGTCTGAACATGCTAGCCTTGGTCCCAGGGGTGTGAGATGTGTGTCTGGGAGTGTGTGCGCATGTGTGTGTGCTGCATTAGGGCTGTTCTTCCATGTGGTGCAATCTCTGGTCTTCCTGTTGCTGCTTTGGAAAGATGAGAGGCCTCCCTTTCCTCCTCCTGGCTGCTTCTGGCTGCCAGGCATTGATGAGAGAGACTGCGCAGTGCTGGCTGCTGAAGGTAACTGGCGTCCTCTCCCTTCCAGAACAGTCTTTACGAGATGAGTGAGCCTTGTGCAGGAGGGAGAGAGGTCACAGAGTCTCATAGCTGACAGCCTCTCTCCAAGGACGCTGTTCCTGTGTAGACATCCCCCCCGTTGCAGTCGCAGTGGAGCTGACTGGGACTGATCTCTGCCCCTCACACAAAGATGTCCATCTGCTCTTTCACGTGTGGGTGAAATGGAGCCGTAGTGAACCCCGGTCTTGCGGGAGCATCCCCCTCACCACCCCGAAATGACTGGCTCCCCCTGTGCTCTGCTGAGCT